AGCAATAGCAGCATGAGTGGCGGAGTAGGAGCTTTAGCTGCAGCTATCAGTGACGTGACCAAAAAACCACTGACACCAAAACCGCGCGGCTCATTACCGAATGACGTAAACCAACCGCCACAAACGGAATTTCACTGGCCCCCCGTGCCGGTGAGCACGCACACCAGCAATCTGCGCTTAAATATGATGAATCAGAATCCAAAAGACCTGCATACAGCGCGACTCATGATCGAGGAGTTGCGTACGAAGGTGCGCTATCAGGCGGAGCACATCATGAAGTGGCGGAAGGCATATGCGCTGCAGGTGAGTTTAAACTGAAAACTCTGTTTAGATAACGTACATATGTAAATGTATATTCAGTTACTCATTCGCAATATCGTTCATCCGCAGATACAACAACAATACCGCTACCAGAAGGAGAAGACAGATCAGATGAATACGCTGACCTCGCAACTTCTATTACTCGAATCGCGGCTAAAGCGGAAGCAAAAACAGGTTGCGAGCTTACTCAGCCATCGCGAATTCACTATACAGCGGCAGCAAAAGATTATCGACACGCTTTCGAATCGACTGTCGGATCATGGACTGGACGCTATCGAGGCAAACTACACCACGGAGCTGGATTCGCTTAACGACTCCGACTCGGCAGTGGTGCTGGAAGATATCGATTCGGATAGCAGCAATATGCCGTTTGGCGCACGTCGTCGCAGCAGTGGCGGTGGCTACGGCTCCGGCACGGGTCAAAGTGCTGGTGATAGCATCACCATTGTGCGTTCCATTTCCGATGCCATTGAGACGAACTTGAACAAGTACAGTGGCGTACGACGTAACAACTGCTTCCTGCGACGGCCGGAAATATTGGAGACTGTCTACTCGGTGGAGGAGGATCCGGAGCCGACATCAGATGTGGCAGAGAAGCGTGATAAGTTCCGAACTCGCTCGGAGAAGGCGCTGAGTTCGAGTTCAACAGAAGGACAAATCGACAGCAACTCTTCGCATGCGACGCCACATGCAGCAGCGAACATCACTCAGCCGGAGCGTGCGAAAGAAAATGTGCGCATCACACCGCCCTCGCCGCAACGTCAACTCAGCATCTCACAACCGCTTGAGTCACCGAAAAAGGAAGACGGTTACACCGCCTACAGCGTCATGGTGCCGCAGTTGCGCACTACAGCTGCCACACCGACCACGGAGAGAATCAGTGCGCTGGCTGGCGCTGACGTCGATGGCAGTTCGACCGGCGTCAAATCGCAGGTGACGAACTACAATCGCGTCATGTCCAACCATCGCTCGGTGACCAAACCAAAGGACGTGAAATACAAACGCATCAACAAGGCAAAGTCGAAAAGCCTGGAGGAGCTACGCGGTCGGCTTAAAAATCTGGTGGAGCGCGGCGGCAGCGCGGGTAATGGTCTTGACGCGCACGGTAGTGGTGCGCCCTATGCGCACGGTGTTATGCCGCAGACTGCACAGTCATACGCGTGACAATGGCCATCTTTTGGAGGCTCTACTGCTACGCTGGCCGTTATTGCAGCCACAGCGCCCATTGCCTCATTCGACGCCGACATGGATGACTATGCAGTGGAGGAGGATGAGGATGAATGCGATTGCTTACAAAGGACAATGCCAGCAAGAGAGCAAGTAGTAGAGGAAAAGCCACCACCTCCTGTTGAGGTGAAGGTGACAGAGATGGCGATAGAGCCCAACGAAAGGGACTGCAAGTTGAGCACCTCAGAAGAACAATTGCGCTCGAAGCCATTTTCGCCGCTCAAGCATTGCATACCTAAGCGATCGCTGACGTTGCCGCGCATACTTGTGCCGCGGAGCGCATTCGGTTCGAGTGGTGGTGGTGCGGCTGGCTCAGGGCGCAGTGGCGGTGGGCGTGGCGGTTTCTAGCAGTTAAAGAAATTTTTCATACGTAATTGTGATAAAAAGTAAATAAGCCGACTTCCCAGCTACGCTCTACTTACATACATAGACATGTATCCTCACAGTCACAGTCACGGTCGCAGTTGGCAAGACACTCTACTAAGTGACTCAATTACTTTTTTTTGTTACTAGCTTTGCATTCTTTTTGACTTTTGTAACATGTGTTTCCTCATTTTGTTTACTACACTCAAGTAGCATTTAATTAGAATTTAATGTTGCTTTTAAGTTTGCATTTATTATTTAGTTAAGTCGCATTTGATTTTACTCACACCTGCATAAATACTTACTTTCCTACCTATTTACTTAATAAAAATGATCTTCATGCATGTAATGTATTTTTTAAATAAAATCTAATTTATAAGTTCACTTAATAAAGTTAAATAATTAAAAAAAATATATTATTTTGTTTTTATTATTTTTATTTAGTTCGAAGTGACTATATTTTTGATTACAATTACGCGGGAAAAATTTAGTATAGAAACAAAATTTTTTAATAGGGGTATTCTTGAAACCTGAAGTCTCTATATTGTGAGAGAACTATAGAAACGCGTATAAAAAATAATTTTAAGTTTCAACTTTTTTTCCGAATTATACATGTATATAATATAAAGAGTACAAAAATCGCGGATATGTTGATTACTAAGCGCTTAGCCTGTTATTTATTGGCCTTAAACCTTACACATACATACATATTCACAATCATGCTCACGACATATCTATTAAAAAATTAAAAATAAAGATTTATGCCTATTGTTTGCAACATATTATACTTTTTGCGTACATTTTTAAACATATAAATTATTTATCTATTTTTTAAAATGCTATTGATTTTTCCATAAAATTATTTAGTTATAGTGTAGTATGTAAATATTTAAAAGATATATTTTTTCTACAGATCGAGATTTTTTTTAAATTTACTTGCATTTAAAAACATTTAGTCGATTGTGTACATAAAGTAACACTGCGAACTAAAGCGACAGAGTACGTGTAAAGGAATAAAAAAAATCTGGTTAAAATAACTAGCATGTAATATCACGAAATCTTCTTCCATTAAAAGTATGAACTAACCAGTTGGTTTTTGGTCTTTTTGGTATTTTGGCCTACTGATGAATTTCTTATAGTCGCAAAGGCCTATCGCAAATAACGTCTAAAAACTGACCAGCTTTAACTCAACCAGGCAAATAGGCGCATTCACATATGCACTTCTCAAATAGCTCACTCACAGATACTTTGCTAACTTCTCAACCCATTGATAACCAGCGAGGGTGCTTGCTCTCAGTCTCATTTTATACATAGCAGGCTACGACAGGCAGTAGTCACTCTGTTAAAAATCTTATACTGGAACGAAAGGCTTTTTCACGTAATCTTCTCTGCCATTTCAACAGCCCACCCTGATATTTCTCATTCACAAATCAATCTTATAAGTTATAGTGCGACTTGATATGCGTCTATAAAGTTTGTACAAACTATAAAAAAGAAAGATTGTTTGCCTCCTTCAAACTCGATTTGAATTAAAAGCCTTATCCCCTGCTCATCCCAATTTAAAAGCAAAAGGCCTTACAGTTTTCGCGAGCCTACTCTAGTTAGCTCCATAAAATATCTTATCACCGTCCTTTTAGCTATTTTTTTTAAATTTAATTTAATTTTTTATATTGAAAAATCTTTTCGCACTCTTACTATTTTTCGCACCTATTTTTACAGATACTTCTGATAAATCAAATAATTTATTGAATTAGCCATTGCCAATTGTCTGGTCTGGCGTTGGACTCCTTTTTTAGAATAAATTTTTTTAGAAAATAAGCCTATCGTGGCTACCACGTACCATTTAGAAGTGCTGACCGGGCTTACATAAATTAGCTACTCTGTGGCTACTTTCCTTTACAGCAATATCAAATTATAATACTCAATGCCTAAACATAACTATAATATTTGGCGCCCTAGGCAAAGGTAGCCTCGCTTAAATTACTATTATACAGATGGTCGAATAAGACCATGAAACAAAAACAAAAAAAAAAAAAACAAAGAATCAAAAGATTCGAAACAATAAATTAACTCTCGAAACTATGGGCCAAATATAGAAAACTGCGTTCATACTTTTTCTCTCTGATGTCAGATTTATTTTTAGTACTTTGAAATGTCGAACATATGATTACTTCCAAAAATTATTTAAAAAATGGAGTGCAATGTAGAATAGCAAAATGGGTACTAAATTAAATAGAAAATAATTTTTTTTTGGTTCACTAGGATACCTAATAGGTATTATAAATGCCATTTTAATTAATTTTACGGGGACGAAATTAAAGGATGTGGTCGTATGCATATTAGTCGTAAAAATATAATTCTTTTAAAAATTAATATTGCAAATCTTCAAGGATATTCATGGAAAAAATTTATATTATTATTGAAGTTATTACTATTTTTCAATATATTGAAATACCAAAGAAACGTAAACTGCCAGGGTAGTTATTCAGACCGATGCTGTAATCCTTTTAACAAAGTTCTAAAAATTAAAAAATTTTCCATGACCGCAGAAACTACCAAATTTTATAAACAGACGATAATAAAATTTTGGGGTGTAATAAAGATGAAACAGCCGCTCTTCCAGTGCCCAAATCCAAAAAAGCTACTCTTTCACTGTG